CAGGTGGATCTCTGTGAGTTCAAGGTCAGCCTGGTCTACATTGTAAGTTCCAGGCTAGCTGGGGGCTACAGGGAGACCCTGGCCCAAAAAAAAAAAAAAAAAAAAAAAAAAGTTTTTTTAATAAATTTGAAAAAAAAACTAATTTTCATTAAAAAATGAAAATAATAAGTAAAGGTGACTATAGAACCTGGAAATGCTGTTGCTGCTATTAATGCATAATACTGTTACTGGCAACTTTACATGTATGTAATTTTAATTTTTGGAAATTTTAACTGCATTGTCAACTTTGAGAAAATGTATCTCACTTTACTGTGGTGAGTTGGCATGTCACAGAAATTAACAGCCATATTGGGATAGAAATGTTAAACATAATTTTTTCCATTTATACAGGGGCAATGCACTATATTAAACATGTAAAGTCTTATCTACAGGGATATGATTACAAAAAAACTATATATATTTGGTCTTTTTGAGACAAGGTCTCTCTTTAGCCCCAGTTGGTCTGGGACTCACTATGTAGACCAGGCTGGCCTTGAAGTCATAGAGATCCGCCTGCCTCTGCCTCCCAAGTGCTGGGATTAAAGAAGTGCATCACCATATCCAACTAAAGTATTCTTTAAATAATGAAAAAAAGTATGTGAAGTGATAGGTATGTTATTTAGCTTTACTTAATCATTTTACATGGGACACATTAATTCAAAATACCACACCGTACTCTATCAAATATACACAAATGTTTGTACATGTAAAATATTAATAAAAACTCTTAAATCTTAAAAAGTAGTTAGCAATATTCAACTTAGCTGCTTTAAACACACTAAAAAATGCTGTGTAGACTAGCCAACCAGGCTCTTTCCAGTGCTAACTTTCCACTCTTTTTATAAAATCCTTTTCACACTTCTTCACATGCCTTGACTACCAATACACCTAGGAGTTCTTGTTCTGTTAGTAGTCTGTTTAAAGCCATTAATTAATAATTAAAGAAATGACTCATACAGCTTAAGGATAGATCCATCCCAAGAGTATTTCTACCATAAATATATTAATAAAGTCAAGTCATATTTTACATACTACTTATGGGCGTGTGAGTCCATGTGTGCTCTAGAAACTCAGAGACCCTTCCTTGATGCCATCTGCATCTCAGGATTTCACCAAATAAAACAGAGTAAGTTCCTAGGGTCTCCGTGGATAGATAACTTTACAACATTGTTATAAATTGTGACCCTGTGGGTAAATGCCCATCAAAAGCCTGAGAAGTCCTCCTGAGAAGAAATCTACTTAATTTCCTTGGGTAAATATCCTCCTAACTTAACTGAACCACAAAGCTTTTTCCATTCCTTAACAACTCTTAACTTGAGACTTCTAAAAGTCCTACCATTAAGGCCTTATTCCATCTGTTTCATACTGGTAACCTTAAAATCAATAATCAGTGCTCAAATCTAAAAATCAATAGAGCTAGATGAAATAATTTAACATAAACTGTTTTACTTAATATCCAATTAGTGCCCCAAATTAGAAACCCAAACAACTACTCTCTCTGTCTCCCATGCCCCCATCTTGGTTGTTTTAAGGCAGGATCTCATGTAGCCAAGGCTTGCCTGGAACCAGATGATGACCTTGAACTCCTGATCCTCCTCCTGCCCCCACCTCCCAAGTGCTGGAATTACAGGTCTGCACCACCCTGCCTTTTCATTATTTGCACATGCAGAGAAGTGATAAATGACAATTTTATACAAAACAACCTCGAGTATGCTGCACTACAAGAACCAAGTTAGTACATTTTCCTGTTTTCCTACTTCTACACTGTTAACTACTATAAAATAATCCCAGAATCATAACCCTAATATAGCTTCTGAAATATTAAGAAAACTAAAAGTATTAATGAAAATCCAGTGATATGTCACAATATTTTAATGCTGTGAAAAATTCACACTAATTAAAACAAATTCTGAAGCAAATGAGCCCTAATTTTGAGATGTAAACTTTAAATTATTAAATAGAAAAAGAGAATATAAAACAAATAATTTTCAAGCCTATCATAACTTTTTTGTCAAATGTTATAGGAGAAACATTAAACATTTTAAAAACACAGATTGAAGCCAAAAAGTTAGAACTGAGAACTACATAACCAGGCCTATACCTTCAGTTCACAATGATCTTTCGGAGGTTTCAAAGTTCAATGCACATATTGGTTTGCTTAACTCATTTTCCCTTTTCCCTGATTTAAAAGTGCTCTTAATGAGTAACTCACTGTCTTCTCATTTCTGAAGTTTCAATTAAAGATATACTGTGACAAATGCTAAACTGAATAGCTTCATATGAATGTTCAGCATTACTGTCATGATCATACATCTACGTATCCCAACTCTGTTTTTTTTTAAAAAAAATTAAGGCCAGTACAGTGACAATATCAGGAAAAAAGACAGGAAGGGAGGGAGGGAGGGAAGAGGGAAAGGAAGATATTCCACACTGAGCCATGAAAAAAGGACAGGAGAGCACAGGATGTTTTATGAGTACTTCAGTGTGACTACTGGCTCTCCTGCTTGCTATATGATTTTTTAAAATATTCTATTCACTGTTTTTATGTGTACGAGTCCATTGCCCGCATGTGCACCCGTGTCCTGATAGGATTTTAATCAAGGTCTTTTCACCTTCTCAACCTGTTTTGTCATGCAGCTAATGGGGACAATAGCACCACCTCAGTGGTGAGATTTAAACACAGTGCTGCTCTACTTTTTGAATGGGAATGCTTGTTGAAAGTGAGGAATATAAAGGTAGGAAATCCTTTCACAGTGCAGCTTATCATCATGTATTGTGAGATCTAATGTGAATTCAAAGTTCTCTAAAACCTGCTGGTGTAAGTTACCACCTACACAAAGAGAAAAAAAATTCATTCGTATCCAAAATGTTTCAAAATGGGGCTGTTTTACCGGGCTTTAAAAAAATGACTCCAAAAAAGTTAGTTAAGCAAAAAGTCTCAAGTAATTGTTTTCTGTTCATTTTCTGACAATAATCAAACAAGGAAGTAAGATGCTTTAAAATCTATCAAAACAGCCAAAAACTACTCATGAAAGGCAGCTGGGCAAAGTGGTCAGTATTTGGAGCTGAGTCAACAGATGAGTTTTCTAGTTTCAACTATGTCTCTAATAATTGTGTGACCTTGGACAAATCTCTGGGCTTCAATCAGCTAATCTATAAAATGCCGACTGAAAATCCTAGATGAGATCAAAGTACAATTTAACCTGGTTTTACTTTGAAGAGGCAGCACAAAGTAGTGGTTACTGGAATAGCTCTGTAGCAACTGACCATGTCAAACCCTGTTCTGCCACCTGCAAGCTTGTGATGAACACACTGCACAGAGGGCAGCTTACTACGACCACTGTTTAAAATAGTTTTCTGAGTTATAACTAAGTTATCTGAAAAATACAAAAGTTTAGAATTTCAATCTTTCCAAACCAAGACACTATCATCTTTCCACTGGGAAAGGACTATCATGTGAAAAGATTAAAACTTTTTTTTGGGGGGGGGGGTCTTTTTGAGACAGGGTCTCCCTGTAGCCCCAGCTTCCCTGGAACTCACTGTCCAGGCTGGCCTTGAACTCAGGGAGATCCACCTGCCTCTGCCTCTCAAGTGTTGGGATTAAAGGCGTGCACCACCACACCCAGAGATAAAAACTTTTTTAAAGTTTTTTCAGAGATCGTTTCCTAGTATACAAACACCTCGGAAAAGTTGTTAATATAAGGCTAACTTCTCACTAAAATATCCCTTAAAGTTAAAAAATAAAATAAAACTTTGAATTTCTATTTACTTTTTAAATACACTACAACTGATGACATATAACCATTGTCTCTGACAATGAAATTAACTCCAGAAATTAAAAAAAAAAAAAAAGTAGAACTGGAAACTATACTGTGAACTTCTAACTCCTAGAAATGCGTGGTGGTTTGGATGTTAACGATCAACCAATAAGGACTGCCCAGGCACATCACCTGCCATATTCAGTGGCACAGATAAGCACAAACAGCAAAGTAGGAAGTTTCTCTGGTAATCAATTTCCAAGGTCTTGGAAAGCTAAGTGTGTCCTGTATAGCCGCTTAAAAGTCACTCATCTAAAAATAGTTTATTTTCTTTGGGGCCCACGGAGGATTGCTTCCCACTATTAACAATTTCCTATCAGCGCACAAAGAAGTCCAAACCAGTCCCTGACCTCAGGATCCTCCCAGAACTCAAGGGCAACACCTTTCAGATAGGACTTCAAGTTCACAAGCTTCAGTATTTTACAATGTTGTCCATATCTGCACAGACCATCCCGCACAGCTATGTGTCAACTTCGGTCATTAAACTAGTTGCACCAATTTAGTTCCTCCTCTCAAGTATTGCTAGTGCAGGCAAACTTCTTCAAAAAGTCTGCTTTCTGCAGTGGACAGTGGACACGATAAAAGGGAAACTGAGTGGCTCGTTGTTGTTGCCCTACTTCCATTTCAGGTCCACAGAGGGAAGTAGGGGGGCCTGGGCATCTCCAGAAGGTGGATGCCACACTCAACTCGGGGCTTGGAGGCCGGCAGCGGAAGGTGACGGGATGTGGGGGCAGGGACGAGGGACAGGGCCAGCGAGTGTGGCTGCAGGAGGGTGGCTCACTTCGCAGAGCAGTCCACCGGGGGGAGGGGGGAACGCCGGACGGCCACAGCCAGGATGCTGACCCAGCACCGAGGGGGCCGACACACCGTTGCCGACGCCGACCGGGGCGCCTTGGGGCAGCGGGTCGGGGACACCATGGAGGAGCAGCGACGAGTGGAGAGCTACAGCCGGGGCGACCGGCCAGAGGCGGCGGGAGGGGGGTGGAACTCTGCCGAGTCAGCACCGCGCCCACTCGGGGCACTTGTGAGATCCCCGAGACTCGCCGTGGAGGGCCGCGGCGGAGGTCGGGCCTGGCCGGCCCCGAAAGCGACGTTCCCCGGCAGCCAGCCGGCCGCCTTGGGTCAGCTCCGGGCGCCGCTTACCTCTGTTAACATCATTACACCCCGGGGAAGTGAGGTCCTCCCTAGCCTCGCCGCATGGCAACAGCCGTAGCAGCAGCGGAAACTGCCCGAGCCGCCGCCAAGGGCGGCAACTGCTCCTTCAATCCCGTCCGGGGCGGCGGCTTTACTCGGCTTCGCTGGCTTCCCCCGGGCCCGGCTGCTCGCGACGGACGCGCCGCCATCTTGGAAGAGCGACGTCCGCGTCTCCCCGCGACGTGCGCTCCCATTGGCCGACGCGCCAGCCGCGGGCGTCTTGTGACTGTCTCCATGGCGCCGGCGCAGGGAGGCACGGAGGCGGGCACTGGGCTGCGCGCTTGGGGGTGACCCGCTCCCGGGGCTTCGGTGTAGCGGGAACTTGGGGTCGCCCAGCCCTAGGGACGGGCGACCACAGCCGAAGCCTCGACGTGGGCTGGTGGCGCTGCGGATCTCTCGCGGCTTCAGGCCACGGAGGCTGCTTGTCTGCAGGGAAGCTCCCATCCCGCATCTCCCCGGCCACGCGGAGTCGTCGAACACTCCGCCGCAGTCCCCGGCACCGCGTGGTGCACCTGAAGCTGCCGCCTGGACGGTGGGACCTGAATTGGCTCTGTCCGAAACTTTGACAAACTTTCCTCTGTGGCTCCCAGTGACTTGTGTGCTGGTGCGCGACAGGTTGCAGAAGTGATTCGAGCTTATCGCCTTCACCTGATCCTGGCAGAGCTAGGACTGCTGCTTGGTGATTGGCCCAGAACCAACCCCTTAAAGTAAAGCATGTTTCGCCTTGGAGCTGCAGTCTCCAAAGTTTTATTGGTGTGTGTGTTTTCAGCTTTCTACGACGTGCTTCTTGTGTGTCACTGAGCAAATGTCAGCAGATATCTTTGTACGTAGTCCCAAATTAAATAGGACTGAAGTCTGAAATTCTGTGCATAGAACTCCCAAATCTGACTGCTTTATCAGTCCACTGCTATAAGGGCCAGTGTGCGAAAGCAGAGAGCTCATTTCTGGACTGTCAAGAAGTTCACCTGCACATAGTTGTGAAGATGTATGTTGCTACAAGCCACTTGCCAAGGAAAGTGAAAAGTGCTTGGACTAGAGAAATAAAACACTTTCATCTCATTCCTACAAAAGGTCTAAAAAAAAGATTGCTTGCTTTTGGGGTCTAATGGTGGCTGGGAGGAGGAAAAGGAGATGAGGGGTGTGGCGGGGGGGGGGGGGGGGGGGGGGGGGAGAGGCACAAAAGCCAGTTCCTTCTTCCTGTGCTTGAATCCTTTCCTTTAACAATGGTACTATTGTGCTAAATGTAATTTAAGGATGTACTCATAAATCCTCAAAACAGTGAATAAAGTAAATGTATTACAAACCTTATATTACCTCTATTCTGTTGTGTCAACACCAAGAAAAATTTAAGCCATCACAGATACTGAAGAAAAACTCTGACCCTGCTCTGTTCAATGATTGTACCAGAGTAGGTACAATTTTAATCTGCAACTTAAACCTAATTTCTTCTTTGCAATATGGCAAAACGTCTCTGTTATTACCAAATCAATCTATAAATAGGAAATAAGATTGGAAAATACAACCTGGCCTGGAACTAAGAGAAAGCAAAGATACTGGACACCATGAGGAACCTGGAAGAAGATACTGTTTCCTACCTGTAAATAAAACACAGCGGAGCCAGCTCATTAATGTTTAAGATACCAGCTAGTGAACTAAAACTCTAATTTAGTGTCTGGTGTGAGTATTCAGCTTTATTCTCAGTATCTTTTTACCTTTGTAGAAGCAAGATAACTTATTTTAAAGGTGGTAAATCGCCCTGGGTCCTTGGTTAGAGCCCCAGCACAGCATAAACCAGACATGGCACATACCTGTAATCCCAGCACTTGGGCTATGGAAATAGGAGGATCAGAAATTCGAGGTCATCCTCAGCTACAAGAAAAGAAGCAAGTTCAAGACCATCCTGGGCTACATGAGACCCTGTGGGGATAGGGCTAAATTAGGTGTCAGCATAAGATTTGAGCCTGTGATATCACATGGATATGCTTTTAACGTAAGTTTGTAAGCATAGGAGCAAATCAAGATTCCTAGTCCTTATAGCTTTGAAATTTTCCTAGCTAGAACCCTTTTGTATGACCTTAACAAAAATCCTATGTTAACTGTACTCCACACTCTTTGCCCCCTCCCCCCAGCCTATTTCTACTGAGCATTTTATTCCAGCTATACAGGCCTCCTCTTCGCTCTCTCTGGAAGAATCTCCACCACATACCAGGGAGGGATCCTGCCCTAACCATGCGTTTAAGTGTTGCCCCTCCCCTAGCATCCTCTCTTTGCTTCAGTTTTTTCATGGTATTAGGATCACTGTTTTTCTTTCCTATTTTCTGTCTTCCAAAAGAATGATGTAAGCTTTGTGAAATCAGGGATTTTTCTCAATCGTTTAGTGATGTTTCCTTTGGGCCCAAAGTACTGGAATAGTACATGGCCTAGCAGATGCTCGATAAATGAGCAAGCAAATCCCTTTCAAAGAGACCGCCTGAAAAGAACCTCATAAAGCAAAATATTTTGTGTTGAAAATTAAATTATTTTAAAATGTATGTTCTATTTTGTAATTATGGAGGTGACATTTCTACTGCCACTGAAAGCTAGAAAAGTTGAGGACAAACTGAGAGCTATTTTCTTGGCAATATGTGAGATTGAATTTAGGCCTCACAGCATACTAGACAAGTGCCATACCAATGAACTCTATCTCCAGATCTCTGTTTGCTATTTGTTTCAAGACAGAGCCTCACTAGTTCCCCAGGCTGGCCTTAAACTCACTCTGTAACCCAGACTGGCTTTGAGTTTACAGTTCTCCTGCCTCACATTCCTGAGTGTCTGGGGTCACTGGCCTCCACCACCAGGCCCAGCTTCTCTTTACCATCTATACCTATATTGAATGTATGTCATTTTGCTGCCAAAGAAAGTAATAAAGTAAAATACACTGTTTCTGAATGTTATGAAAATTGAGTTGTGTAGTTGGAAAAGAAAATGCTTACTGAAGCAACTAACTTTAAAAATCAAAGTAAGCACCCAATTTAGGATGGATTGCAATTTCATTCCATGTTATCTTGAAAACATTCTATTCCTATCAGTTGTTTTAGAGGAAACCTTAGACAGGATGATGGTGGTTTCTTTGACTATCAAGACATTCCAAACAAAACAAATTATCTTAAGAAGAACATGATAGGGATGTGACTGCTAACTGGAAAAGGTTTGGTTCCAACAGCAGTATTGAATCAGCTTGATTAACACAGGAGAGGATGACAAAAAAAGAGGTAAGAAGCAAAAGTTGGGCACTGGATGCTTTCAAACTGGCCACTACCAGTGATTTTTTTTTTTTTTTTTTTTTTTTTTTTTTTTTTTGTCTTTTTGAGACAGGGCCTTCCTGTAGCCCCAGCGGTCCTGGAACTCACTATGTAGACCAGGCTAGCCTTGAACCCACAGAGATCCCCCTGCCTCTGCCTCCCAAGTGCTGGGACTACAGGCATGTGCCACCATACCCGGCTGATTTTTTTTTAATTTCTTTTTTAAAATTTTATTTATTTTATGTGTATGGGTGCATTGCCTGCATGTATAAGTAGTGCACATGTGTCATTCAATGCCCACAGAGAGCAGAAGAAGGCATCAGATCCCCTGGAACTGGAGTTGCAGACAATTGTTAGCTGCCATGTGGGTACTGGGATTCAAATCCAGCCAGTAAGAACAGCCAGTGTTCTTAACCACTGAGCCATCTCTCAAGCACCCTAATATTTTTATTTTTATGTGTATGAGTGTGTTGCCTGCATGTATGTAAGTGCATCCATGTCATACAATGCCCATAGAGGTCAGAAGAGGTCATCAGATCCCCTACAACTGAAGTTACAGTTTTTAGCCACCATGTGGGTGCTGGCAACCAGACCTGGGTTCTCTGCAAGAGCTCTTAACCACTAAGCCATCTCTCCAGCCCCTGCCAGTGATTTCTAAACCTCCAAGCAAAGACAGAATATTAAGGTTGCCCATTTCTTTTGTTTGAAACAAAAACAATTTCTGCATATTCACATTTCTACAAACTATTTCTAATTCCATTTTGAGAAACTGATAAAATATGTCATTAACTTCCCAAACAAATTGCATCTGTCAAACAATTATCACATTTAAATTCCTTAATGTCATAGGCCATTTTCATTTTATTTGTAATTGATGTAATTATTCAAATTCAGTGTACAATGGAATGGTTCAGTATATGTAAACATAGTTAATGATCAAATTAGCATAATTAGTATATTACCTCCTCAATCATTTATCTTTTTTGTAAGAAAACCTTCAAAATCCTCACTTCTAACAAATTTGAAATGATGATTTATTAACAAACCACTGAATCTGAGTTTCTTCATAATGCAACCTTAATAGTGTCATCTACCACCTCTACTGAATGTTAAACATTTTTAGACTTTCAGTAACAAGGTCCTGAGCTAAAGCCAGTAAAGCAGTATTGAAATGATGCATTAATAACAGACATACATTCTACAGAAAGACAACAGGTATCCCAATTCTCTTAGAGATTTAGTAGAGTAACAGCAAAAATATCAGAGCACTTAAAACTGCTCTGAGATACAGCTTGGATAGCCCAGCATCTCCTTTCTTTCTTGCATGGTGCTTATTGAGGAAACACTGAGCCAATTCAACACTAAGAGAGTGAAATAATATGAGGTTTCTGCTAACAGAATTTACAACCATAAAACAATAATGTTCACATATCTCTTCAATAATAGCTCTGAAATGGCAAAAAGCTGTACATAGAAAGACCATATTATAAAAATGTATAAGTCTAGCATGTATTTTAGAGGTTTAATAAGTTAATGGTGTCCCAATATAGTTTTAAAAACAAATATTTTGGGCTGGGGAGATGGCTCAGTGGATAAAACACTTGCTGTGAAAACAAGAGGACCCGAGTTCTAATCTCCAGAATACATGGAAAACTGGGTGAGGTGATAGGCATCTGCAGTCTCATGCTTCATGGTCAGATGAAGATTGTGGGTCTGTTTGCCTGGTATATGCAGCTGCAAAAGAGGAACAGATGGAGGGTGAAGACCAACACCCATGGTTGATCTCTGACCTTCACACATGGGCCATGGCATATGCATGCCCCCAAACCTGCACATACATCATACATACACATCATAGACATACAAAATAAAGAATATTTTATTATTTTTATTTTATGTGTTTGAGTGTATTGCCTGCATGTGTATAAATGCACCTCTGTCATGCAATGTTCATGGAGGCCAGAAGAGGGTGTCAGATCCTGTAGAACTGGAGTTACAGATGGTTGTAAGTCATCATGTGGGTGCTGGGAACCAAACCCAGGTCCTCTGCAAGAGCAGCCAGTGCTCTTATCCACCTAGCTAAAATTTTTTAAGTGGTTTTAATCCACAAAAATTAAATCTAGACAACTTTTAAACATTTTGTTCTTAAATGTGGATACCATTTTCAGTACCTATTAAAGTTCAGGCATTGTTGTAGGCCTTTATCATTTGAAAAGTCTTATTATAGAATCCATGAGAGGTTTCATAGGTCACCTGTCAGCAGTGCTGTTGATGGGCCTTCCATCACCTAGAAGATACTGGTGTTTGTCAGTTTCTTTACTTGAAGTGTTCCACCCTCCTTCATGCTCTGCTTCTAGGAAGAAAGCACAGGATGCAGTCCACACCTAGAAAATGGAAATGTCTGCTGCTCCTCAAGGGCCAGCATATAATCAAATTACTTGGAATTCTTTTGCATGGGAGATTTGTCACTTACCCGTTTGGTGTTTTTAACTTGTTTGGCAGGTTCATACTTTTTTATAATGATTAGTCATTTTCAACACTCGTCCTCCTCTCATCCCCCTTTCATCCCTCTCTCACTCCTCTCTACTCTCTCATCCCCCTCACACCTTTTTCATCCCTCTCTCCTGCTGACACCTTTCCTTCCAGAAGTCCCCCTCCTCCTTTTGTGTCTCTCTGTGTGTGCAAACTACTGAGTTTAAATGAAATTTCTTGTCTGAATATCAAACAAGAGGTTATTTACCAGAACAAGGGCAATATATCAGACCATCTATATGAATGTGGTACATGCATGTTCATTTTATA